TACTCGTTCTATGCGTACTCCGCAGTTGTTTAGTGTACCTCTTACAAAAAATAATGTTTCACAGAATGGACCATTGTGCAGAATGTGTCGATCATATAATAGCATATGTTCCCACCATGACATTTTTTTCTGTAGTTTTGAATGCTTCAAAACAACACTGTTTACTAGTATTGGCAAAAAATAACTTAAACTTAAACTTTTAACGTCTGTCCTTTTATATTGTAATTTATGATAATACAAATGTTGTGTACAATTATAATTGGATGTCAGATTTATAATGTTATATATATGTAATAGTTCTAGTATTATTTGTAGTCTGTTATCTGTTATTGTACCATATAATAAAAATAAATAAAATAAAAATAAAAAAAAAAATTCAATTTTCGGAGTAAATTAAGTGGGGTGGTTTCTAATAAATTTGCACGACTCAAGTATGTATATAGGGGAACGTGGGGTATTGGGAGCCCGCGGGTAATGAGAGCAGTGTAAAACTGGACTTTCCCAATGGTCGTATTTGTGCAAACGGCACTCCTACGTCTTCGTTAACGTCCGACAAGGTTCGAGTCCTGGTGACGCCCCTGTAGAACCCCACGTTTAGTCGTATGAAATGATTGTGTGTTTTATTATTATCTCGCTTGTAAAATTTGCTAAATTTCATCCTCCCAGGTAAGCATTAAAATGCACAGATACTACTGTTTTATTCCTTTTTCAATTCGATGTTACGCGGGTAATGAGAGCTATTTGGCTCTCCTTGTCCCATTGCAATATTCACTGGATATCCCTTTAGCACTTTCTTGTTTATTTTCATTACTTTTTAACTTATATATTTTATTACCTTAAGTTTTTTTCAAACTGATTATATATAAAGGCTTCCATTTGACATACGGGATTATTACTGGCTCCCATTTCCCAAACTGTGGGGTAATGAGAGCGAATGACATGTTTTAGTCTTTTCTGTTTTAACCAAATATTTTATTTTAGTTTCATATTTTTTCTGTGATTATTTAGTACCCAGATATGTGAAGCGTACGTTCATAACTAATAAAAATTTGAATTGCATAAATTATGTCTTTTATTGTCAATTTTCCTTAGTAGGCTCCCATTTCCCCACGCTCCCCTACCTGTTAAAGTTAATATGCCTAATCTTTGAAAGAGAAGTCTGCAAAGTTCTCTCTGTTCTATATTTGTCAATATTCTATCACACTTTTTCTGTAATTTATAATTATTACGACGATAGTTAAGAATTTAAGTTAGTAAGAAAATCCCAAAAAACCCGGGTTTTCCTTAGATGAAAACCGGATTCCAAAATGGACGGTTGCTCGGTTTTTTCAGTTAACCGAGTAACCGGTTTACATGTCCTAACTGTGAGTGAACCAGGCGCGAACCTCTGGGAGTGTGGAACTGTGTAGTTCTTGCCGCGATCGAGAGGCCTTAAGTGATTATCTTAGATTACCACTATTTTATATAGGTTTTAACGCTTTTGTGGTAATAAGGTTTCTTACCAAGACATGATATCTTTTTTAATTTTCCCGATATTTCGGAACGGTTACACGCTCTTACATGTGTTAGATTATTCAAAAGAATTATGTTATATTATTGAAATTCCTGTGTAATTGATTCATATTTTTTTTAAAAAGAAATACTATTGAAGAGTTGTTGTAATTTAATCATAAACAAATTTGTTATAATAAGATGTTAATTGACTCGCCTTATTGTGCATTTGACTTTTATCGCTCACTCATATTTTTATTCGATGATGCAATCGTTCGTTCGTTTTTGGTTCAGAGTTAATTTTTCTACTTAAAAAGCGAAAAAAAGAGATTATTATTGTTCACGGACGAAGAGTGTCAAATACACAACACCGAGGGTAATGTGGAGGGCGCATCGTAATTATTAATGTGAAGAAAGGTGGAGAAAGAGAATATTATAAATTGATTGGAAGAATAAACATCATACAAGTGTTCCTGACGTTTTAATTTGGATCAGTCTTTCTAAGTTTCAGAAGTGGTGATAACTCACGTATGCTTCTCGGTTCAGGTTTGTCATAAAACATTAAGGTGAGTCGTTTATTTGATTTCACGATGTAATTTGCATGTCTCCAATATAATGACGAAGACAAGACCTAGAACATTATAGTCTGTTCCAATCAATTTTAAACCAAATGCCTAAACATACAAACAACTTGGTTGAATTTCTGAAATAATCGGTCGATGGATGGAGTGGGTGACGCTTTCACGTATATTTCGAAGATTTTGACTTGATATTTCGTTACTTTTCCAATAACATTCATGTGGATAACATTGTAAAGTTGTATTACAAAAAAAAAATCGATTAGTTAATCGTAAATTTCATCGTAATCGAACGAGTATTGAAAATTAAAAATTAAGATTTCGGAAATTTTAAACATGCTTTTCTAGGTTATGTAATGAAAACCTCTGGTATGATTCAATTGAAGAAATCGATGCATATATATCATTGACTTACAAATAAATGGACGACGGGTCAAATACAAAAACCACGAAAAAAATGTCCCAAGTCAACCTATTCGAAATTTAAATTGTAATGTCATCGCAGTATCGCGCTGTCAGTCGAACAAATGAAGACTAAAGCGGAGTTTGGCGCTCTGTATACGATTTTAGCGCCTTACAAGTGCGGACACTTTTTAGCGCGGACCCGACGTCCATATAATTGTAAGTCAATGATATATATATTAATATATAATAAATTTATAATAATAATGGAATATTTCGGTTTGCAGTTTTACAATCACTATTTCAATACGATGCCACGTGAGAGACGATTAAATCATCAGCAGGAGATTAAATCGTTATGACTAGTCGATGCATGCGAGTTTCTGGACGAAAAGTTTAAGAAGAAAATTTACATACAGGGTTCTGAGCTTAATGCGTATGTAGATCTTAGTAGTCAGTGTACGTTAATAAAAGAATCTGTAGCCATGAATATTCTTAACTGTGA